CGAATTTGGAAGCAGTGGATGTCTGCTTATAACTTGTCTCCATCCTGATCAACGTGTGAGATCTTGAGGAGGTTTTCCAGGCCCTCTTACCCCTTTTGTCATGCTTTCGGTTTCAGTGAAGTCAGCCCGATTCCTAGTATCCGAAAAGTACGGGCCAAATTGGCAGTTCAAGAAGCATATGAACTGAATGAGCCTACGAAGGTGGAAATGTGCCCCGGCTATGCGGCCTGTCAAGCCCGTTCACGTGTTTATGAACAGAAAAATCGGGGTAAGCACCTTTCTTCATAAATGACCCCTTTTTGTTCGGGATCGGCGAATCTCCGCATCAGTATACTTCTTATCTGATTCGGCATGTCCGCTGCTTACAAATTGTTGGCATAATATGCATGCGCTACCTAGACTTTCTTGTTCAGTGTGTGGTCCTTTAAATTGTGTTGCAGCTTTTTGGAGGCCAGCCATAGCTGTGGCGAGAAAACAGCTCACACGTTCGGAGACCGTTCCCATGTATGGGGACACCAGTTCCGAAGCGCACTTCATAACAACTCCCCGTCGGGTAGGTCATTTCTTTGCATCAGGCTAATACTGAGATCTTGAGCATCGGGGATTGAGCTTGTATGTTGACTTGGGTTAACTAAGCGTTTCTTTTGTTCTTTTAGCGACGACCATCGACGGGGCCAAGGTTTCTGCTGCGATGGGTTTGGCACCAGCTATGCTGCTGTGTTCAGCCAGTTGCCGAATGATGACTGCTCTTTGCTCTTCGGATCGGAAGTGCTTCCGCAGCTCACGGAACGGTTGGATCCGCTCCGTTGCTCGGAGCATCTTCATACTCGCTAGGGAACCCCTGCCACCCCCCCCCTCCAGTGTACAGAGTTGATTAGTGTTTATAGATAAAGTCGCTTTAGCCAAAATGATGGTTATTTTGTTTTCTCTTGACCATGGACGAGCGCATATACCTAATTATTGCCACGTGGGATCAGTTGAAGAAAAAACACTTTTCACATTGGCCACGGGGCTCACTATTGAGTCCCGCAAGCAGCTTCTGTGTTTTAAATCGTGTGGATGACTGAGGGTAAGTCAGCGGCGGGTAACGAAAGCCATTGTGGAAGGTAGGAAGGACTATTTCGGACATAGCTGTAGAGGGGTTAAGTTAAATACTTGCAAGTGCAATCTTAAGCTTCGGTTCCTTAGGAGAAGAGAATTCATGAGAGACCAAAGTGGAAGGAACATTTTATTCTGTATGGAAGGAAGTGGAGAATAGCAGGAGGAACTTGACTGTCAAACGAGCGAGCATCCGTCGGCTAGAGCACCGCGTCTGAAGTGAGGTGACTGCAGGAATGGCCACAGCGTTTGGAGCGGCCTCTGTGTGAGTCGGCCTTGGCAGATGATTGGTGCCATTTGTTGCGTCTGATTATCGCACTTCGATTGAGTATAGAGAAGAGTGAATATTCCTATTTTAGTACTACGTGGTTACTTTTGTCGAGAGGAGGTAAACAATTTACGATGTCTATGCTGTCAGGCGCTCTTTTCAGTGCAAGGTCTAAGCAATTGGCCTGCTGCCCTTCGCGTAGTCTGGTCGGATATAGGGCATGTTGTATTAGGAAGGAATTTTATACTGTGCGTAGGAGTCGCGGATCAAAAATTACTTCTAATCATGATATCGGATCTTTTAGCAAATGCTTCAACTTCTTCTATCAGACTAGTGCCTGACTGTGGGCCGTCCGACGGTGGTTAATAAACCGTC